TGGACGCCCCCGCTGCGGCTGCGGGGTCACCTCTCTGTTCTTCAGTGCAGGCTTTGCAGGGCACCCTTGGCCTGTGAAGCGTTACCCGGTTAAACTGGAACCGAAACAGGACAAGGCCAGCCCCTCCTGGTCCTAAAAAGGCACTGTGCAGCCCTCCCTGTGGCAGACTGCCCTAAACACTGACCTGAGAGTTCGGGCCTGCCTGCCCCGCCGTGCCTCGCTTGCAGGGGGAACTGTCTCTGGCTTCTGGAGGCCTCCTGCCCGTCCAAGCTGATTTAAAACATAAAAACCTTGCTTTTGCATTTGCTTTCCTGCGCTTCTGCCTTTAACGCTCCTATTTTCTAGCTCCTAGCCTGTAAAAGCTGTGTGTGCAATAACAGCCGCCGTTTGGTCACGTTTCCAGAAGCCATCCTGGTACCACCTGATACCATCAGGCCAGCAGCAAAAACATGAAGCCTGATAAACGCCAGTCTTGCGGTGTACACACACGCCGACAAGCACAGCTCCTGCCCCAGAGGGTTCAGAGCCTTCAGCGCTTGCAAACAGTCTCCCCGAGCCCGACGGGATGTGTGTCAGGGCTGCGGGCAAGCATCGGCACCCACGGCAGCAGCCTAAAACCTTAAAAAATAGTGTGGGAGGAAACTCTAGTCCTAAAAATACCAGTCGCTGGTGAGCGCCTGGGAGGGAGCTGTGCCTCCGAGTCACCGGCTGCTTCGCGCTTTGCCTCTCGCTTTTCGGGGGCTTTGCTTCTGCCTGGTGCTGAGCTCTGCCAGCGCACCAGGCTAACAGACTCCTGCGTCTGCACAGGGCTCGCCGGCTGATCTGCCCCTCTCGGGAAAGATGGGGAAGGGCTACAAGGTGGTGGTTTGTGGAATGGCCTCGGTGGGGAAGACTGCGATTTTGGAGCAGCTTCTGTACGGAAAGCATACTGTTGGTGAGATGTTTTTACTTTTGGGGGGGGATTGTTTCCTTTTCCAGAATCTTGTTCTGTGTGGGCCCCCAAAAAGCAGTGACCGAGGACTGCGACCTGCACTGAGGTGAAGGAGGAAATTAATGTGGTTTTGTTGCATCCCTGGGCAGTTCTTGAAATTCCTAGTCCCTTGCTTACCGATTTTTAAAAGAGGCTCGGAGAAGAACCCTTTCCATGATGTTCCCAGTTATAAAATACATGAATGTTTAAAAAGAAGCAAACACAGAAAGCGGGCGATGTGCTTGCTGCCTATTTACATAATATCTCGTTCCCTGAAAGATGCTGTAGGTGCCTGCAAAATAAATAGATACCACATGATGAGTGGAGAGACTGTTTAGACTTTTGTCCCATCTTCTTAAAGCTTTATTTTGCTTGGTTTTGGCTAATATTTAATCAAAGCGCTGAAAAGAAAACCAGCTCTGCTTTAGGTCCCACATTCTGTGCTGAACTTCAAGGGCTGAGCTTCTCGGCTCTCAAGGAAATCCTCCCGCGGAAAACAGACTTGAGATAGGAGCATGGGATATCTGAGACTTGCTGTGCACAAAAGAAAGTGAAGGGAGGCAAAGCCGGCTTGTTCCCCTCTGTTTCCACATGACTTGGCACTGAGAGGAAGGGCAATTCATCAGGAGAGCAGGCTGATGAATTATTCCTGCCTCACCCAGAAACAAGGGGTGGCACCAGGGGTGAATCTCAGGGCTTTGACAGAAGACGTCTAGTCCATTCGTAGTTTTTCCTTGGGCTGGTAAATTAAATGTTGGGGTGAGTCACTGGATAAACGCTAGGATTTCTGGAACGGTGCTTTGCAGGCACTGTGCCTTTAAAATGTGTGGATGGGAGGAATTTGCTGGCAAAGCGTGATACAGGACTGCGTGCTAATACCCTTGTTTAAAAGGAGGATTTCCTCTAATGTCACAGCAACATCTGTTTCCAGCATCCTACCGAGCCCTGTGCACGTAGCCCCGTGTAGCTTTCAGCGTGAAGGTTGCAAAACCTGCAGGCTGAAGGTTTTTCCCTCTGCTACCAACCTGCCTCTCCTCTGCGCTCGGTGAGTGCCAGAGACGGCCGAGCAGCGTGAGCAAGGCCACGTTGCTTAAATCGTATTGCCGTGCATTACTTCCTGCCCCGAGCTCCTATTAAGACACCCAGGCAGGAAGGATATTCGGGTGTTGCTGATCGGAGGAGCTATTTATGGAGCCAGCCATGTACATGATTATACAACGTCATGGATACTGGCTGACATAACCGGAGGGAGGCCTCGTGCCCGGGGTTTAGCTGCGGGTGTCCCTCTCCCACTCCTGAATGCTCCACTCCAGCTCGGCCATTGTGCAATGCAGACTTCCCCCCCTCCCTTAAAAACATCAGTTTCCCTTTCCCACAGTTCTACTCTTCTTTTTCAGAGTTAACAGTAAGGGAGGGAGCAGCTGATAGCGGAGGGGGGTGCAAGGGGAGAAGGAAGAAGGTAGCCTCCTGTTTTTTATGATCTCGGTCAAATCTTATTCCCAAGACATTTGGAGAAAGAGGGCAAGTAGCAGAGTCAAGATCAGAGTGTGGAGAGGGCTCGTACAAAGCCATTGCAGCCCAAGGGGCAAGCAGCCATGGCCCAGCACTTTTGATATCACCTGCATGTAACATCAGGCGCATTTTAGGGGATGGACTGATATGTCGGTGTTTCTGGCAGTCCCACTGAGTGGCCACCGTCCCCCCTGCATCTTCCTCAGCCCACGGGCAGTTCTGGCAGAGGGTGCCTGAAGTATGGGCTGGTGAAAATGGTTCCCAGAAAATCTTTAGCTACTTCTCCAATCTGTATTGATTTAACCCTCTGACTGTGGAGGCAGGACACCGCTGTGAGGTCTCACTGGGCAAGGACAGAGTTTGGGGAATGGCGAATCTGGTTGCTCCTTAGCTGAGCTGCTTTAAACTGCACAGACCCATTGCAAGGGTGGCCCCTCCACGCTTAAAACATGATTACTGAATCTCCATCCTTATTTCCTAAAGCTTGTGAGCTCCAGAAAGCTGACATGTACATCTTGGCTGCTGGCCTTTTTGGCAGGAGGCGAAAAGGACTAGTGTGTTTGCTGAAAGCCCGTCTGTTCAAAGCCAACCAGCAAGGCAGCTCACCGGGTACGGCAACACGGACACAAGCTGGTTCAAAACCTGTGCTTCCTGACTGACGTCAGGAGCAGCTCTGCGGCCGGTACGAGGGCCGGGGAGAGGGGCCGGGGTGCCGTGGGGAGGGCTGCTGAGCCAAGGCACAGAGTCTCGCTGTTCCTGACGGCATCCGCATCCTCCTCCCTGTGACAAGAGGCGTGCTCGAACTTGGTTGCAGGCTCAGAGCACAAGATCTGGTGCCATCCTCCAAGGTGTTCCAGTCACCGACATGAAAGTCTCCTCCTGGCTGTAAACCAGCCATGAGTCTATGTCAGTGCTAACGTGCCTCCTGTTGAATTTCCTGTGAAAAGGAGTGGTGGCACAGCTGCTATCAGGGAAGTGATTAGTGTCCTTGGAGGATTCACGCTGCTATATAAAGCCCTTGGCTTTGAGCCCATGCTCCTGGCTGTGTGCTTGGTGATGGTGCTGTAAACCCAGTTGTGCTGTGGTTTTCTTCCTAGAAAAATGTGTACCCTCAGCTCTCCCTGGCTTGTTATGGATGAAGTCCCTAAGTGGTGCAGTTGCTTACATGTTCAGCAGCTAGCGCTCTTGCAAAGGCACTAAGATTGCTTGAGGTCAGAGGAAAAAGTACAAGGGAGGGAGGAATATCCCTGAAGAAGCAATATTTGCATCCCTGGGGCATGTGAGCGACAATGTGCGATACTGGGCTTTGTGCTAGGCTTTAAAATTGTAAGAGGGGCTGTTTGGCTTGGGGCCTAGGATCAGAAAAGGAGAGGGCAAAGAGATGAGCGATGCTGTCAGAGCAGTGTAAAGTAACGTACATTTTGCATGGCAGCCTCTCTGGCTAAACTGAGACAAGGAAACCAATAAAAGCTGAAAGGCGATGTTTGAAATAGGTACAGATTTAGCTTTGAGTCGTGCAGGGACTATATTGCCATAGGTCAGGCCAAACAGTTGTTAAAGCTTGCATGTATGTGTATGGTTGCCTGGTACCTGGGGCGATCTCTCATTTTGGTGCTTTAGTGTTTTGTCTGTCCAAATCCTCCACCTTCTGTTGCACTCCTGAAGAAAGAGGGGCCGGTCTTTTCTCCTTGGTCATGAAATGGGTCCTTGACTGGCAGAAGCAGTTTGCCGCACTAAATTCCTGTGGTACCTGGCACTGCTTGGCCTGAGCTCTCTTGAGAGAGCTCACGGGAGAGGTGCTGGCTTAACTTTGGCACGGGACGTGTCTGTAAGGAGGATAGGTCTTTTTCCTTAAACAGTGCGCCTGTTCAGCAATGGCACAGAAAGGAGTCTTCCTTCTGCCTTTAAAATATCTCTGGCCCCTCAACCTGTGGTAAAGCTAATCAGCTAAGCAGGAGGAGATGAGAACTTTTCCTGTGGAAAATAAGATTTTCCTTATCTCTGCCTCCTGGCTGCGTAAATAGCTGGTATGGTCAGGTTACTCATAAGCAGCTACTTCAAATCGTCTTGCTAGATGGGAATGAAAACACCACATATTACTGTGGTAGAACCCATCATGAGAAAGACTTTGCCTTGCCTGTTCTCAGCTGGAGGGATTTGGGGTTTTAGCTTTCACAGCTCCAAAGATATGGACGCTGATTTACCAAATCATGCGTTCTTACCTCTTTGTGTCTTAAATCAAAACTACCTCCTGGCAGAGCTGCAGTCAGATTTGTATTTTAGAAACGGATGAAAATGGAGCTGAACGTATGCAACCGAGGGTCACAACTGTGGCTACTGGTTGGTGGGACCAGTACTTAACTAGCAGCCAGATCTAAATAGACCAGCTCCTGTTGAGTCCTGTCCAGCTCTTCTCTGAGTCGGGGATCCTCCGATACGCTGTCATTTGAGATCTAAGTAAGCAAAGCCTGTTATCCTGGAGTTGTAGAAATGCAAGGAATAGCAGGCTTTAGGAGCCATTTGCTAAATTCCTG